GTGTATTAACCATTTTAAGATCAATAATAACTGGTACCTTGTGGATTTGCCTGGTTATGGGTATGGAATTTATCACAAAATCTTCCTATCTCTTATTCAGTTTCAGAAGATGGTTTTTTATTTAATGCAAATAATGCAAGAAAATAACTTCATAGGTTCTGCTCTATCATTAAATTTGTAAGTAACAGCATAGCAACTTAAACACCAATTTTTCATTGTCAGACATTCTTATCATGGACATATCAGTCTCCAGCCTGTAATTAGATTATCTGAATCTGGTCAAATATATCTAAATATCCTATTTATTTTTGGTAGTAGATTTATAACCAAGTCATGTAAAGTAAAGTTCTCCACGTAACATAAAAGGTTGAGCGTAAAAGTTATTCCCTGTCCAGAAACATTAGAAGCTTGAAGCAGATATTGTCACCGAGTACTTTCGAACTCCTTGCCTTGGCTATAAGGGCTCGATATTGCATTATCCTCCCCATCTTTTTGTGAAAAATTCTTTTTTCAGTCTAAATTTGAATGTATTAGAGACCAAGGAATCACTAATTTACTTCAAATACTTATGTTGTGGATTCTTCAAATTTAGCTGAAACATCAATTAGAATTGATTGAGACTTTTGTTAGCTAAGCAGCCAATCGAATTTGAGTTCATAGTGGCATAATTACCATCTGATGGACATCTTGTTGAAGTCAAATATACTGATTCTTCATCTCTTGTAGCTTAAGTTTTATATATGTTGGCAGCTTAACATGATACTGGAGGTGGCAAGTCTGCACATTTCACATATGACAGACAGAACTGACAATTATTTTGCAGCAAAAGCATAGTCTTGGAATGAAGCCTTGCAATGTTGCATGTGCATTTAGCTAGGGTTATTGCATCTTTTCACCCTGATATTTTTCATTTTACCTGAAGATGCTTAATATTTAGAAAAAACTGCTGGTTTTTTTGTACCTAGTATCTCAATGTTGTCAGCTTGTTGCCAATACTAGGTCTGACACTTAGCAAAGTTTGAAAGATTGCCGAGCATTAAGAAGCACCCTTGTTAGTTTGACTTAGATGACTTGCCATTTATGAATCAAAAACAAAATGAGAGAGCTAAGGTCATGCCGACTGACTGCCAAATTCTGGTCCTCTATCCTGTTTTGGGTACAAAAAAGATCCTCTTCCTGCATGTCCAATGCAATATTTAGGCAATTGACAAATTATGCTTCAGGTGAATTGACTGCAGTGTGAACAGCACTGCAAAAGCATTCTTGTTATTGCTTAATTGGTATTCTCATTTATTGTAACCTCCAAAACCAGAAGGATAGGAAACCATAACTTGTCTGAAAACCTGTCATGCATTATTGTTTAAACAAACTTTATAGACTGTTAGACTTTTGTCAAGATAAAAACTATTAATAGTTTAACTTATGGATGCTAGGATCTCATTGATCTAAATTATTATTAGTGCATGCTTCAAAAAGTGCTTTATGTCAACTGCATTATCTTTTAAAAAGGAGATCTTGCAGTCAAAATCACATGTTTGATGGTTGCTTTCTCTGACTGCTATGAAAGCTTGTTATAAACAAGACTGGTTGTTATACTGCTCTGTGACTTTTATCTGACAATAATTTAGATGGGTTTAAAACTATGCTAGGAATTTCAATTTTATTTCCAAACTTTTCTGGACGGTCTCATTACCATGTTTACTATGCATGTATATGATCGGCAGAGGTTAAAAAATATTTCTCACGGCTTTTTCTCCCAAAGGAGAAAGGTTATGGTTATGCCTACTCAATTTGGTATTGAAACCCATTGTTTGTGAAATGAGATTTGTGGACTCTCCATACGTCATCCATTTATGGTTATGCCTACTGAATTTGGTATTGAAACCCATTGTTTGTGAAATGAGATTTGTGGACTCTCCATATGTCATCCATTTTGCTAACATTGTGAAAAAGTCTTACTGATGTTTGTTTCATGCTAAGATAGGCTGGGTATATTATAACATGAATGAACAAACTTAATTTTGACTATATAGCTATTACATGTTTTAGCTGCCTCTTTCATTTGGAGGTTCCTTTCATGAGTGTTGGTTAATGACCACAATTTCATCAAAAGACAGTTAAAAATAAGTCCCAAGTTACCCATGCTGATAAATGGTTTCTGTAAATCATGAGCACTTCGGGCCAGCATAACTATTTGATATACATATTCTCTATACTATGGTGACTCTGGCCGCAAGGTGATTCTACTCCCTTTGACCACTCCTGATTCATGCTTTCCTACAGTGGAGTGCCTTTAGGTATAATGTTCTAAGTGCGCTCTAGCAGAAGCCCTAGTTTATCAAATATTAGGAATAGAGTGTGCTTATGTGTTTTGTGTTTTTTTTATTTGTTTATTTCCCTGTGAGGAACATTGAAAGAATGCTACTCACTAGTGACTCAAGGATGATTCAATACTGTTTTATCGCCCAACTCCACAACCCAAATTTTAGATTGAAGTCAATTTAGGTTGTCTTGGAAGCTATATTTTCTGATTTAGTTCATTGTATTCATCTCTATCGACTATAGTTGGTCTTATCTTATGATTGAAAAATATTGTGCTATATTGGACAGGTATGCAGCTGCACCTCAGGAATTGCGAACAGACTGGGATAAGTTCACCAAAGATTATTTCCTAAACCGGCCAAATCTTGTTTCAGTGTTTCTCTTGATAGATGCTAGTATTCCTGCTAAAACAATTGATCTCGAGTATGCTAGTTGGCTGGGACGGAATCAGGTGATTCGATCACTTTAGTTTCTCCTTTCTTCTAAATTACAAAATGACTAGTGGAGGAGGAATTTCTTGTAATTGTTTTTTCCTCTTCTGGGTCTCAAGACAAAGTAGTCAAGATGGGCCTTCTCTTGAATTATCTGTTTCACTTAATATTACTTATTCAACTTGATTTTATACCCCCACCATGTGCACACATCCATCCCTAAAGTAGAAAAAATTTGCAAGATATCCATTGCATAGTAGTTTTACCTAAGTGTGACCCCCTGCTTTTCTATCTTGTTAACTTTTTACAATGAAATCAATGTGCTGAATTCTCATGATTGGTAAATTTTTTTCTGGCGGGGAACTAATCAAGAGTTCTTAGCTCATTTGTGTCTTACCTCATATCTCAAGGTTATCATTCTTCCTTGTCTCTTTTGCTTGTGTTGAGAAATATATTCCTTTTGGTTTCAGATTCCCATGACTTTAGTGTTTACCAAATGTGACAAGCGGAAAAAGAAAAAGCATGGAGGGCGAAGACCTGAGGAAAATATTCAAAATTTTCAGGAGTTGATACGTGAATTTTTCCAAACTGCCCCTCCTTGGATTATGACCAGCAGCATAACCAATCAAGGTCGAGATGAGATACTGTTGCATATGTCTCAGCTAAGGAACTACTGGCTCAAGCACTGAAGTTTGGATCAACCTCTCAAATGTAAGCATTCAGGCGCATTTTCCTAATTCCCTCTGGGAAGTGTAGCTTGTAATTAATTCATCCCATGCTTTTGTTAATGGTCGGGTCTATAGCATCCTAATTCTTCCCATGCCTTGTTAAATGCTCTGGAGAACCAGATGTGATTGGGTCTATAGCATCCTCGTCGTGTATGGAGCATCTGAATGCCAGCTGACAGCAAGAAAATGGAGTCAATAGATGCCATGATTTGATCCTTGAGATTGAAGAATGATGCTTGGTAGTGTGAAATCTTTGTGAAAGGGCAGATGATAGATGTCCTGGATCATATGAAGCGGTCAAACTGAATTTGGCATTAATCTTGCAGGTCGAAGAAAGGTGACTTAGGTGGGTGATGTAACTGCATAGAGACGCTTTTCTGTTTCTTTTGACAAGAATGTTAAAATAGGAGATTTAAATGATGAACTAAGCCCTGCAACGAGAATGCCACTGAAGCCAAACCTGTCATTCTATGTATTATCTTCATTTACAGCATTTACAAATGATGAGGTTATCTCAACTGGATTTTAATCGCAATTTCATTAAATGAGCTTATGGCTGCGGAAACACTGTATGGCTTCAGGGTGGCAGGCATAGCACTTCTGAATTGTCGGTAGAATAACTTGTGATGAGTCAACAGATTCATCACAAGACAAGATTTCGGTTGCCCACACAGACGTCCAGATGTGAACTAAACAATGTCACAAGAATTAATTAAAAAATAATACTCTCAGATAAGATAAGTAGATAACAAGAGCTCGTGCAGATGCCCAGAAAGCAATTAAAACCACATTTCTTTATCTGCATTCCTGTAAAAGCCATCCCTAATCAGTGATTCTGTACATATGATTGAATTTGTTAATGTTTACAACAGATAGCAACAGCTAGAAGATTCAAAATGACCTACACTGACCCTCAGAAAGACGAGTGAAACTAAACAAAACTACAACAGCCTTTCAGGTTTATGATGCTGCATCAGCTGCTACCTTCTTTCTTGGTGCTGCTACAGTACCTAAAAAGATCAAGAACTATGAGTCAGATACTGATATACTAAAAAGAACTCCACCTAAAACAGTACATAGATGCATAGGCCTATACCTTCTCTGAAGTTACTCTTGAACCTAACAGCAACATGACGTAGGTACCTCATACGGCCTGTTCCAGTGGTCTTTCTTCGAATTGCCTTGATGCTCCAATTATCTGAATGCCACGCAAAAGAATAAACATTCAATTATCAAAACTTCAACATGTTTAGCCTAATGTCGGGACTGAATGAACTGTATCTGCAAGGTTCAATGTACAAAAGCGCACAAGAAATATCCAAATCCTAAGTTAATTCTCATATCAATCTTCCATCCTTAATACAAAAGCAAACTATTAGTTTCCTTTTGACTGGTAATTGCCTATAATTGAAAACGGACTTGCATCTTTAAAACCTTTATAACATTTTAGCCAAATGAAAACCAAGAAAATCATTAATGCAAGAAATCAAAGTTCCAAATGGACATCAACCATTTGAAAAGATGTAGTTTCCCAACGTCCAAATGCTCCACAATTGAAGCACTGGATAGCGAGAGAAACAATTTTCTGGCTTCACTTTAAATAGTTCAACACATGGTATGAGACTGTGTAAACCAATAAAAACCAAGCAAAGCCACGCCAATAAAATGATTAGGAGGATTTGAGGAACTACAGAGTTAGAACAGGAAGAATGTTAAACAAACTCAGTCCCTTAGATGTTCATAAAAAACTGCGATCATATCCGCAACTCATTACAGGTCTGTATATACTCATCATCGTTGTTCAATCACTTCCTGACTAAATCATAAAAAAAGCATATACATACAAGAAATACAAAATGTAGCTGCCCCAGTGTTCTTCCAAGACAATGACAGAGTTGCCAAAGAGGAGATATGGAAGAACAGCACACCCAATTTCGCTTCAAGGGAACGAGTTGGTCAGAAACTAATTTGTTCTGGCAACCAGATAGTGAAGCCTTGCGATCTAATGGCACTACAGACACATAGAAAACCATAAACTTCACCATCAGCACTCAGGACACTCTTAAACTCAATAAAAAAAAAAAAAAAAAAAGCAGATGGATTGCAATGTGCATTTACCTAACACTTGCAAGTGATAGAAATGTTTGAATCTATCTAGGAAAGGAACAGGACAAAAAATGTTCCCTACCCTCAAACTGATTCACGGAAAGACTCAAGTCTCTCTTCTTGTGCGCCTCTGTCTGAACCGAACAGCTTGTGTGCAATTGCAGCACCTTCCGGTTATTCAAGAGGCGACCATGTTCAGCAGGTTATACACATGGAAAGACTAACAGATTCAAAAATAGGAAGGAACAGCAAATATGACTCAAAGACAGAAGCCAATACTATTGATATTTCTTGCAAATAAACATCCCTATAGGGAAACAGAAGGAAAAAAGAGGGGGGGCCATAAAGAATGTCTAAGGCTGCTTGGAGGACACTTTATAGAGTGCAAAGAGTCCCCTCAAAAGGCCTTCAAAGACCCAAAATACCTTAAGATATTTTGAATCCACATTTCATTTTATGCCTCTTAACTAAGCCAAATATGAAACTCCTAAATTGTTCATATGGCTACTCAAAGAGGCACTGCACTCTAGTAACAAATATGACATCTACATGAAGCAAAGGGGAACAAACCCTGAACTGAAAAATGAGGCATTTCTGTCCATTTAAAAAGAAATTAATGTCAAAATGGGAAACCCTCACCGTGAAAGAAAGATATCTACCAAAATGGTCACATCATAAGAAAGTTCGATTTAGCTATTTAGCTTTAGCAAAATAAGCATCTTCCACACTTTTTGCCCATTTTGAGTACAAATACCCAAAAAGAAAATAACCATAACAAAAGCTAATCAATTGACAATACCCAATTTTGATGCATATAACAGACAATTTCCATGATCTAAACCCTCAAAATCCATCTTCGTCTTAATTCTAGCTAAAATCAGTTTCTCTCCAAGCCTTCACCATTTACATTTCTAATTAATCTTTCCTAAATAGTCTCATCTCAACAACATGGCAATAAAACATAAACAGGAAAAAAAAACTGAACGACAGTAAAACAAATCCCATATGCATAAGAAGTTATTTTTTTTATTTCATCAAAAAGGTTAATTTTAAAACAGAAATAAATGAAAACTGAGATTAGTGAATATACATTTCCGAAGACGAGCTGCAGGGTAACCACATGAAGCACAACGGCTCTTCTGCAGGTGGAAGCTCCGCCGCCCACATCTCACACACAGTGTGTGTGTTTTGTTCCTTCTCTTACCAAAACTACCTGTTCCTTTTCCCTTTCATCCATAAAAAAGGGCAAAAAAAACAAATACAAACATCAATAACCATCAAATACGGTAATATTTATGCATATAAACATAGATTAAAAAAAAATGAGGGATTCAAGGGGCATAGAAAAAGCACCATGGAAGGAAGGAAACCCTAAAGAAACCCTAGGCGAACACCTGAGTTTTAGAAATGTCTGTTGTGAGATTTAATTTATAAGTAAATCGTTCTCAAGTTAGGGTTTTTTTTTTTCCTTTGATAGGGCTATTTTCTTCTGCACAACTGGGCCGTGATTTTAGACGAGTAATTTTCATTTGTGTTCTTGGGTCCTTTAGCAGTTGTCACAACTGGGCTGAATCCAGTTTCTGCGTATCTCATGTCTTTTGTTTGGACCATGTCTTTGAATTTTTTGTTTTTTTTTTCAACATAAGTAGATAACGTCCCAAGTGAATTCAGCCAAAAGTTTCGTCGTCCTCTCACGTGCCCGGCATGTGGATTGGAAGCATCATGTTGTTCGCGCATCGCGCGTTAGCTCCCCATCTGGCCTCACCTACCAGTGTCCCATGTGCCGGTACTTCTTTCTTTCTATTCTTCTGCTGCATTTGCTCTCTTTCCGCTACCTTTTCTCTCTCCATTTTTTTTTGGGCAATGTTGCTCTGTCGCTTACCCAGATGTAACCTCCACTTCCATCTTGTCTATTTACTTTAGGGTTTACATACACAGAGCAGCAAATACCTCTCCGCCGCTTCTCCTCTCCGCCGCTTTCCTCACCAAAAAATAATACTACCAAAATCTTCAGTAGCGGTGAGCTTCCTTGCTCTTAGCTTCCTTTTTTTTTTTTTGGGTCAATTTGCAGCTTCCTTATTTTTTTCAGTTTGCAGCTTTCTCTATATTCTTTTTTTGGGCAATGTTGCTCTGTCGCTTAGCTAGATGCTCTAAACCCTGGTACAAAAGCTTGTTGAGGTATCTGGTGATGCATTGTCTTCTTACAACGCAAGGAGTATTGAGCCTTTGTCTCTCGCGCGCTCTGGTTGCAGCGGTCCAAATCATGTGCCGTCCGTTTGGTTCTCCTCCCCCTTCAGTGTAAGTTTTTTTTTCCCCCTTTGTAATGCAGCTCCCGTTTTCCTCTTTTCTTCTGAGTTGAGTCTGTTTTGCTGTCCAGAGAGGTGCAATCTTGGTCTTTTCCTCTGTACGTTTTAGGCTAGAGTTGATATGTTTCGTCCTTTATTTCGCTTGGCCAAACTAGGACCTTTCTTGCCTTCTCTAGATCATCTGTTTTGCTCTCCGGAGAGGTGCAATCTTGCTCTTTTCCTCTGTACGTTTTCTAAGTTGTCATGTTTCTTTATATTTCTTTTCTTTCTACTTCTACCGTATGTTGTTCTCCGATCTCTTCCCCTTCTTCTTGCCTCTAGGGTGTTTCTTAAATTTCCGCCACCGCCCCTCTCTCTCTTCCCTTTCTCCCTCGCCTCTCTCTCTTCCTTTCCCTCGTTCCTTCTTCAGTCCACCACTGCTGCTATTGGTTAAGACGGAACAACTTGCTCTGGTAATTCCATAATTTTTCTTTCCTTTTTTTTGAACTATTTTATCTTAGATGCTCTGAATGGATTCCAATTCTCCTCTAGACCAGAAAGATTGAAGAGGTTTGTCTTTGTTTTCTTTTTATTATCCAGCCATATTTCTTTCTTTTCTTCCATTCTTCTCATTTAGTTTTTTTTCACAGGGAGCTGCCCTTTTTTTTTTTTTCCTTTTTTTAATCATTCTTTGGAATACTTGGTAGCATATTATTTGCGGAATCTTCTTCATCTGTTATGATGTTAAAGTTTTCTTCATCTGTCCTTCTATTAGTAAATAAAGCATATTTTCTTCATCAATTTGATCCTATGTTGTTTTAAATCCTATAAGCAGATATAATGATCTCACTTTGTTTTGTGTTTCATTTTGAAGGGAATCGAAATGCTTTCACTTGGCTCATTCAAGACTGAAGCTATTCTTTTGGTAAGTGAAGGAAGCTTAGTAACTTAAATAAACTTATTTGTATAAATGCAATAAGATAAATTGAAAGGTGACGACTAAGACTGTGTATGCCAAAAAATTTATTATTGTGTATCAATGTTTTGTCAATATGCTTTGATAGATACAAATGGACACACATGTATTTATGCATTTTTATCAGTATTCCCGCTCTAATTGATGCATCTTCTAGATTGCACTATCCTACCATTTGTTTACTATGATGTAATATACATGTTTTAAATTTGCAGGCTAGACTTTTTGTATATGACATTTTCTGGGTCTTTTTTACCCAAGTAATGATTAGTGTTGTTAAATCTTTTGATGCTCCTATCGAGGTAAGTGTGTCATATTGCGTTCTGTATATCTTTAACAGAAATTCTTGTACTTGGATTCTGTCTATCATAGTTTGCAACTAAGTGTAATAATATATACTTTCTACAGTTTTTGTTCCCAACGGCTGACTCTGCAGGTTTGTTTTCAATGCTAGCTCTTGGGGATACAGTAATTCTTGGTATGGCTTTTATTCTAATTGTTCTAATAGTTGTTGTCAGTTTGTCATCCTCATTTTGGCTGCTATGTTGAGAGTCCATGGCTAAGTTTTTGAATTTGATGTTCAATTGTTTTTCTTCCTCGGCTGCTTATAAGGGAACACATGTATCCGGTGATGAGATTCATCATTTTTAATCCAACCCTCTCTACAGCATTGCATTTTTTACTATTTGGAATAATTGTGTAGCTTTTCGTTTTCATCTCTAAGCTTCTTATTTGGTTGGTGATCCCTTGTGATGTGTGCATGGTTCTAAATTGTATGAAGAAATACTCGAAAGCGTGCTAAGTAAAATCTGCATCTGTAATTTATATATCTCAGGGATTTTTGTGGCATTGGCATCGCACTTTAAAGTTTCTTAGGGTGAGCAGAACCAATATTTCAAGAGTGCTTTTGTAGGATACTCTGTTGGTTTGATCCTGACAATAATTATCATGAACTGGTTTCAAGCTGCACAGGTAGGTGTTTTATGCATGTCCTTACCTTTGAAAGTAGATAGATACATTTGAGAAGTGTAAATTTGTTCCAGTGAGGGTCCATACTTCTCATTTTGTTGATCCTTTTTAATGGTTATTTATTTAGGGCTGCACTCTTGTATATTGTACTGGCTGTCATTGAATTTTTGGCTGTGCACGTCTTTTGGAAAGGAGAAGTGAAACCAGTAAGTCTTTTGTGATCATGAATTTATTTTATAATTGTTGTTAAATGCTGAACTTCTGTCTTTCCTGGTGTATTATAGTGAAATGACTTTATGCATGTCTTTGGGAGATACTTT